AATTTCGGAATTCGTTTTGTAGCTTTGGCATTCCTTTTGTATATTTGTTTTTACAAATCAGGAGTGCTTTATTGAAGACAAAGAGTATTACAGAGCAATATAAACTGTATAAATATGTACAAAATACAATGTCATACATATAGACCAAATACATTAATCTAGTAATTAATCTAATATAGTCCAGCTGTACAGTTCAACAGAGCAGTAAGTAGACATGTAAAGAACAGTATGTATAAAATCAAAGGTCCCTGAGATAAAACCATGGGAAGGCACCAGAGGCTCATAGGGGGAAAGTTGTCCAAAGAAAGATAAAGGGAGGTAGGAGGAGTAAGGAGAGTAGAACCAGGGAAGAAATCAAGGAGGAGAATAGGGGAGAAGAAAAAGAAAAGGGGGGGAGGGCAGAAAAGGGAACATTATTTCGAAGTCCAAGGGGACCACATTTTAACCTATTTCCAGGGGCAGCCTGTATTCAGATATGTAAGTTTGTACATGGGCAGGGCCGTATCCACCATCGCCTCCCAGGAAGACACCATAGAAAGAATAGAGGACCACCGAAGGAGGATTTCTTTCTTGGCATAGAAAAGTAAAAAAGAAATCAGCAATTTGGTATGATGGGAATACTGCTCATTATCCTGAATCCCCAGAAGGGCCCTTTTGTATGTTTCGAATGGCATTTAAAAATGTTTTAAAAACAGCCCAATCCATACCAGGTGCTTCAGGTCTGGTATGGATTTTGAGGGGAATCCCAGGCTAAATTTGTTTTAAAAAAATGACATGGGGGTCCCCTCAAAATCCATACCAGGCCCTTAGGGAACAATAATATGGAGGACTCAAACATATACACCCTTTACAGGCAAATACCATTACAGTTTATTAAAAAAAAAAATCACCAACAACCTTTACCTGTTTACTTATTTTCTTAATGTCCTAAGCAGTGTAATTCAATACAGCAGAATGTGGCCAGTCGCTTTAAAATATATCCTTCAAGCCATACATGTCTGGTCTGCCAATTCTAAGTTCATGTGTTTGGTTATTACTCATCTGTGTTTAGTCTTCAAGAATGCAGTAACAATAGATTATGGAGTCACCAGTTAGTAGCTTCCTCTAGAATCCCATTAAAGACCTTATCAGATGAAGGCAGCAAGCGTTTCCTCATTATTCTGAACTCGGAGCACAAGAAGTCAAGGTCAAACAGATCACACTAGGGAGCTACTGCACATATTTAATACACATGAAACTATTGAGAGAATACTGGCATGTGTCTTTACATTTCATGATAGTTCCGAGTTTGTGATACATTTGTCTTATGTTATCAGCAAGTATATATAAACCTTTAAAATTCCCAGTTTGCTACATCCTTTAGGTCAGTGTTTCTCAGCCTTTGTTCAGTCAAGGTACCCTTTAAAACTTTGCACAATGCCAAGCTACCCCACTCTAAAAATCTAATCAAACAAATTTCCATAGTGCAGCAACATCCACACACATAGGACACCAAACATTGGAGGGGAATTATTCTAACAAAGCAAATACACCTTTGCACACTATACTAGTATTTCCGCATTTCTCTTCTCCAGCTTCTAAAGTCACCTCATTTAGAGTAGGGACAAACAAGGATGTCTTTTGGTGCCTGATGTCCTTATCAACCTATGAGGTCATCCATTGTTGAGCGCTCCTCTGTCATTCAGGAGAAGCCTTGTAATTTTATGAGAGGCGGGCAGATGATATCATGCTTTCTGTTTCGTACTATTGTAGGTAAGTAGGCAGGTTGCTGACAGAATTAATGGGTGAAAATAAAGGAAAATGTTTGAAAATTTTACAAGTTTGGATATATTACATTTTGTTCTTGTGTTTGGTTACACTTTAGGCTGGATTCACACAATCAATTCGCATGTGATTTGGACAAGAATCACATCGCTTTCCTGTTCAAATCACATGCCATTCTTTGCAGTGCGATTTGAGCCCATTCATTTTGTATGAGCTCAATTTGCACAGCACCCACACGAAAAAGGTGCAGGTACTTTTTTTTTTTGCCGCAGCGGAATCAGATCGCATGGTGTGTGATCATCAGCAGCGTGCATGAGGCCTAACAGAAGTTTTCTGCTCATTTTGAATAGATTTCCTCTCAGATCTTTTGCCTCTAAGATAGGGAAAGAAGAAAAATATCTCCAAAAGAACAGTGGGAAACAAAACTCTCAGGGGTTTTAAATTACTCCTTACTTTACCCAAAAATAAGTCAAGCTTTGGTTTTAAATATATTTTACCCGTTTTACTGCTATCAGCAGAATCATATACATGATTCTGCACTTTCTGGTAGGGCATGCGTGCCCCCAGAGCACCGCTTTTGCTGTGATCAGTCACTGTAGAAGCTGATCAGTGGGTGTCAGCTAATGGATGACCACTGCCACCCATGGATTGTCGAGGAGAGAGACAGAACAGAGCTCTGCTTATGTAAACAAGGCAGAGCTGTGTCCTATCAGCAGCGATGTGCTGGATTTTGTTTTCCTGCAAAAGCAGGGAATAAGATCCAGCACATTCCTTAATAAAACATGATATAGTACATATATAAACACGGATTAGGTACACAGTTAACCCTTTGATCGCCCTAGATGTTTACCCTTCCCAGTCGCTGATCGCTGCCATTACTTGTATATAAAAAAAAGTGAAAAAATTCCAGTATATATACACACACACCATAATTTGTATACGCTGTAACTTTTGCACAGACCAATCAATATACGCTTGTTGGGATTTTTTTTTACCATAAATATGTAGCAGAATACATTTTGGCCTAAATTTATGAAGAAATTAGATTTTTTTAATGTGTTTAATATGTTTTAACAGCTGAAAATAACAAATATGGTTTGTTTTTCTTTAAAATTTCTTTTTTGTTTATAGCACAAAAAATAAAAAAAAAACCCAGTGGTGGTCAAATACTAACAAAAGAAAGCTCTGTGGGAAAAAAATTACATCAAATTTCAGTTATGTACAGCGTTACATGAGCATGCAACTGTCAGTTAAGGTAACACAGTGCCGTATAGCAAAAAAATGGCCTGGTCAGGAAGGGGTGTAAATCTAAGTGGCTAAAGGATAACTGCACTTTTGTGGCAAAAAAATGGCAAATAAAAAAATAATATAGCATATACAATTGTGGTACATACAGGCCAATTGAATGTGATTAAAAATTACCTTTTCTTTTCAATCTTAGCGCAGGGATTTTCTGTAAAATGCAATGCAATATGGCAACTTGGAGGAGATGGTGTACAGAACGACCCCCCCCCCCCCCCCCCCCCCCGAAATGTAATTTCCTGCTGCTGTTGGTGATTGGCTCACTGATTTTCCCAGACATTTGCACTACGATACTCCCAAAGGGATGTCACAGGTAAAGTGATGCGGACCTTGCAACTTTGCTTATTAGAAACCTGCAAGTGCAGCAGCTGAATGATAATCATAAAATCACTCCCATTCACTTTGCACATGGACACAGACTAATAAACAGCTATTCCTTCAGAATAACTGAAGGTAGAACTCTGCAACAAAGTTTGTTAAAATTCTTGCAATGTACATAGATCACCCAGAGGGAAATGTTTTTTTTCTCAACAAACGTGGAGTTACTCTTTAAGTAAAAATATTAGGGGATAAACTTGGAGGCTGCCATCCCTGATCACTCTTTTTTAAAAATGCTGGAAGCCTGGCTAACATGGCGACAAGTCAAAAATTCTTATCTGCACACTTGTTTGGGGCTGACTCAGAGACTACTAAAGCTAGTGGGTCTATATAAGAGCCAACATTTTTTTAGTTATTTGTTTTTTTGAGGATACAGCAAACAGACAAACCCAATATTTCTCTCATGCCAGGTTTAAGAGCTTCCATAAAGAAGTGTGGTGGTCAAGCTTTAACGCTGAACTCCTGGCAAATAGATAAATACACAGCTGAAAAACATACATGGGAACTACGAAAGGAATCATATCTGTCCATCCATTCCTGAGATTTACACAACCCTATCAGACAGCACTGCCACGTTGGAGACCAAATGACTGTTCTTTATTGTAGTTAAAGCTGAACTCCAGGCACAAATAAAAAAGTTTTCCTTGCAGTGGGGCTGTGCCCACAATGCAAGGGTTAACTGCTTAATTAGGTCTACAGAAGGGATGAAGGGAGATAAACCTACCTGATCCTGATCCTCCGCACAAGATCGGTCCCTCAGCTCCTACACCGCCACGCCATATATTGTTCTTGAGCAGTGGACTGTTCCTGACATCATGAAGCCCAGAGCAGGCTCCATAGACCTTTTCTTGACGTGGGGATGCCAGGAACAGTCCACTACTGGATTGCGGGGGAGCACCATTTGCCAGAGGAGCATAGGATCAGGTAAATATAGTGCTTTCTCCTCTTCTCTGGACAAGACAAGCACTTAGCCCTTGCAGTACTGGCACAGCTCCACTACAAGAAAAATATTTTTGCCCAGGGTTGGGCTTTAGCCAATACAGATTGGCCAAATCCTTCTCCCACTGTAAAGGAGAATCAGCACACCGAGAACCACATTCTTTTTCTCCACCTATCAGAATTTTCCTAATTGGTTCCTGTTGCTGGCCCCCTCTCTCTCCCAGTGTGAGTGCTACTGTAAAGGGGATAACCAGTCAAATTCAAGTACTTACAGTAGTTCATTTAAAAATATGCTATATCATTGTTTTCTCATCACAGGCTGGAAGTCTCTATTTAGTAAGAAGATATCACTTATATTTTTATCATAACATATTACATCTTTATTTAGAAGAGAAAAACACATTATGTTTTGCTCATATGGCCATGCAGTGAGTGAGCCCAACCAGAAATACATCCCAAGATACACATTTAATTTATGTATTAGGTATTATTGATATAAGACACAACATGGGCAAATGAAGCAAATTAGCCAACAACAATCCATTTTTCAGGTTGAGCAAGTTTAGAGGAGAAAGAAATTAAAATAAAGAGGTAAAAGGATTCTGTTGGAGAGCCCATCAAGGAAAAAAATATTGATGCACCATCGGTCTCCATAGATTTGAACTGAAGGGATGTACATAATGTTCTTCCATCAGCTCTCTGGTACAATCAGAATAACACCTAAAATTAGGAGTTGGGAGGAGTTTCATATTTTTAGCTTTTTTCCGGTCGATTGCGATTAAGGACAGCTTTGGGTGTAAATTCCTTTTTTTCCTTCAAACTGGTGATTTGAGTGAGATCCCGCCCTGCAGCCTCCTGTAGGACTCTTTCCTCTCTTTTTTCTACAATGCTCTGCTCTTCTGTAATCTTTTGTGGGGTTCCACGAATAAACCATTCCAAGTGATATCCCACAGCTCCCGCCACGAGTGCCACTGGAAAGGTAATGTATGGAGCATACGTCCTTAACGCAGTAAATATCAGAGGCCACATAATTGTTCAGATAAATGCAAAGCTATTGTTGTAGAGAGAGAGCTTCAGGTGACAGCCTGCAGTAATAAGGATGACAGAAAATGTTTTATGATTACCATGCATTACTAATAATATATATAACATTATGAAACAAGGCCATTATCCCCTTCACACTTAAGGATAAAACAAATCTTAAAGCCTAAGTAACATTTTACAACTTTGCCATTTGTCAGTAAACCATACATATCATCAAAACTACTTTGTACATCCAGGTGGATTATAGCTTGTTTTTTTTCAGGACAAATTGGGCTTTCATTTGGTGGTAAATGGTAATGAATATCTCCTGGTGTTTTTTTTTTTTTTATTATCAAAGAAAAACTGGCCCATAACAGTAAAAAAAAAATATTTTCTTGTTACTACTATAACCTACCATCAAAGAACAACCCAAAATACATTTTCCAGCTCTTGACGATCGCAGTGATACCATATACGTGTGTGCTATTTGTTGTTTGTACCTGTACTACAGCCCAGAAACAATAGTGCACATTTTGTTTTGGTTTTTTTTTACCTAAAAACACACTGACACAAAAAAAAAAAAAAATCCTGATCTTTGACCCTGACCAAAAACAGTAACCTTGACACTGAACTAGATCAAACTTATTTTTTAGTTTAATTACAAACAGGTGGGGTTTTTTTTCTCTCTGCAAGGAGAGAGAGAGATACAATGTATCTCTCAAAGTATACAATGTATCTCCTCCATTCAGAGAGAAAAAAAAACAAGGGGGTGAGCTTCACGGTGACTGATAACTGTGGTAGCCAATCAGAGGCTATCACAGCAATCATGTGATCCGGAATCGGAAGTCTTGGGTCCCGATTGTTGGAACGGGACCTGGGGCTCAGTGACACCCCAGTCTCTGTGCTGGGAGCGCAAAAAATCTGTGCTAGAAAAATTGCTTCAAAAATACTGTGTGACATAAAAAATTGCAACACCCGCCAGTTTATTCTGTAAACTGTTTGGGGGTTCAAAATAATTTTCTAGAAAAAAAACAAAGTTTTTTCATGTAAACTAAAAGTGTCACAAAAGGTTTGATCTTCAGGTGGTTAGAAGAGTGAGTGGTGTGTGGCATAAGCATCTAATGTTGGATCTGACAAAGAAGATGTGTCCTTTGAAAACACATTACCGCCCCCTCCTTGCGCTCCCTCTTCTCCCTTTCTACAGTGTATGGAGATCCAGGAGGCAGTGTCAGCCATTAGCGGCGTTTGACAGCTGTCAAGCTCACTCCTTTGTTATGCCAGCTGAGGGATTCTAAATGGTCATCCACTTCACACACTTGGAATTGCTTCTATGTTGCGATCTGTGCCAGAGCTGTTTGTCAAGAGTTTTACACGTGAGTGTACTATTTTTTTAATTGTTCAATAAAACTACATGTATTGCTGACAGAGATCCTGCGCTGCTGTTCATTTTTTTAATGTTAGCCCTGAAATGCCAGGATAGTAGAAACAACCCCCCAGATGCTCCCTTTTTGGAAAGTAGACACTCCAAGATATTTGCTAAGGGGCATGGTGAGTATTTTGCAGATCTCATTTGTTGTCACAAGTTTTTGGAAAATGAAGAGGACTCCAGTGGCAACCTGTGAAGCTCTGGTGAACTTCATGCCCAAGAGGGTTATGGCTTGGTTTATTTCTTTTATAGTCTTTTTTTTCTCTGCTGTTCATTTCCTTCTCTTTTTATATTTTATTTTTTTTTCCTTTGATCTTTGATAGTGGATCTCGCTGAGAGAAATGTGGTACAAGTAATTTTAAAGGGGTTTTAAGCCTTGTTCCTAAAGCTGTAAGAGAGATGAGGAACATGTCTGATTGCATTTTTACTGCCCCCATCCACCCAGCGGCAAATTAACATTGCCAGTTGATGTATCTGTATGCTCTGACACAGTTGCAATGCAGAAAATTTTATATAGCATTTTTCTATGGCAGGCGGTGCCACTGCCAAACATGCTGCATTCGGGAGAATGAACCCCCACTGCAACCACACATAATGCAAGTGATTTCAAAAATTATTGTCTAGAAGGTGACCTATTGTCTCTGAGACTCCTGTCAACTGAATCTGAAAAACAATCAAGGGTGGATTGCTTTTCAGAGCGGTCAAAAAAGCAGCCACCCATGTGAACAAGGCCTTAAAGGAGTACAAATATGGAATAAGAGGGTTTTTTAATAAAAGGGTACACCTGAATTTTAGGCCAGGTTCACATCTATCCTTGTCGGTTGTAGTTTACTTACATATATTTTCACTACTCAGACCTAAAGACCCTCACTGAATAACACTGCTTCTTACGACACATCCACTGTTTTTTGTGAAAACCATGACGTGAGAACGAGATCTTAAAGTGTCATTAAACCCAGGCCCCTGCATTCACTCTATCTGGTCTCTCACAGTACACAAAACATGGAAATGCAATTACTCTAGTAAATATAAACAGCTAAATACCTTTTCTCATCAGCAGTTAGAGCAGTCTTGTGACTTCAGCAGAGCACTGGTCAAAGCTTGCAGGAGTTTCTTTTCTGCTGTAGGAGGATGCAGAACCCCTGATCTCTGTTTGGACAGTGCTCATTGGCCCTATGCTGATCACATGCACTCTTCCAAGAAAAAAACCTCTCTAGTAATACACACTAAACGGAGTATGTGCAGAAGGGCTACGGATTCAGTCTGTCTGATCAGTATGGACATTTGAAGGAGAGGAGGGGCAAGAAGTCAGGATCAAACAGCCTTTTTACACAATGCTGAGGATTAACCCCTTAGGTTCCACAGTGAGTACAACAAGCATGCTTTACTCCATATACAGACTGAGTTTACGGTTGTGGGTTTAGTAACACTTTAAATAAGGTTTCTGCTTACTATAAAATTCTGTGCACAGTTTCCTATTGTTAATATAGAGCATTAATCAAGGTGAAAGCCAAAACAAGTACATGGGTTTTTTTATTTACTCATGACAGGTGTGTTATATGTTTTTAGAGGGTGATCCTAAACCAGGGGTGGGCAAACGTTTTTGACTTGAGGGCCGCAATGGGTTCATATATTGGACCCGGGGGCCGGACCAAGAGTAGATGAATGATGTGTATGTGTCATCCATAGTAAGTATAGTAATATTCCCCCATAGTAAGCATAGTAATTAATCCCCCATAGTAATTAATCCCCCATATAACAAAATTCATCCCCCATATAGTAATTCATCCCCCATATAGTAATTCATCCCCCATAGTAATTCATCCCCCATATAGTAATTCGTCCCCCATATAGTAATTCGTCCCCCATAGTAATTCATCCCCCCTATAGTAATTCATCCCCCATAGTAATTCATCCCCCATATAGTAATTCATCCCCCATAGTAATTCATCCCCCACATAGTAATTCATCCCCCATATTAATTCATCCCCCCCCATATTAATTCATCCCCCATATAGTAATTCATCCCCCATATAGTAAGTCCTCCATATAGTAATTCATTCCCCATATAGTAAGTCCTCCATATAGTAATTCATTCCCCATATAGTAAGTCCCCCATATAGTAATTCATTCCCCATATAGTAAGTCCTCCATATAGTAATTCATTCCCCATATAGTAAGTCCCCCATATAGTAATTCATTCCCCATATAGTAAGTCCTCCATATAGTAATTAATTCCCCATATAGTAAGTCCCCCATATAGTAATTCATCCCCCATATAGTAAGTCCTCCATATAGTAATTCATTCCCCATATAGTAAGTCCTCCATATAGTAATTCATCCCCCACATAGTAATTCATCCCCCATATTAATTCATCCCCCATATAGTAATTCATCCCCCATATAGTAAGTCCTCCATATAGTAATTCATTCCCCATATAGTAAGTCCTCCATATAGTAATTCATTCCCCATATAGTAAGTCCCCCATATAGTAATTCATTCCCCATATAGTAAGTCCTCCATATAGTAATTCATTCCCCATATAGTAAGTCCCCCATATAGTAATTCATTCCCCATATAGTAAGTCCTCCATATAGTAATTAATTCCCCATATAGTAAGTCCCCCATATAGTAATTCATTCCCCATATAGTAAGTCCCCCCTATAGTAATTCATCCCCCATATAGTAAGTCCCCCCCCTGTGTCAATTCACTTACCTTTGGTCCGCGCGTTCCTCTCGTATTCCCGCGCCGTTCTGGTCTTCAGGGAGGACTGTGAGAGGAGTTCGTCACTGCTGCCCCGCCTACATCCTGGCTGCCCCGCCTACATCCTGACAGCTGCAGAGTCCTGACGTCCGAGAGGAGGGAGGGGGGCGGCCATCCGAGAGGGGGGGCGGCCATCCGAGAGGAGAGGAGGGAGAGAGGGAGGGGAGGGGGCCAGGAGGGCGCCCGGCACACAGGAGAGCCGCATCTAAATTTGTAAAGAGCCGCGGCTTGCCGACCACTGGCCTTGCGGGAGCCTAGCTCCGCGGGCCGGATTAAAAGGTCCGCCGGGCCGTATACGGCCCGCGGGCCGTAGTTTGCCCATTGCTGTCCTAAACACATAAATGTAATGATTTTTTTAATGGTGCCGTTCACAGCATTTAGTGGTGTTTAGAAAAATAGAATTCTGTAGCGATTTACTAAAATTGGAGAGTGCAAAATCTGGTGCAGCTGTGCATAGAAATCAATCAGCTTCCAGGTTTTATTGTCAAAGCTTAAAGGATAAGTTCACCTTTCATAACAGGTTACATGTTACCCCCATATTCAGGGTGTAACATGTTATGATTGGACCAGCCCCCCGCTTCCCCCTGATCCCTGTTGTGACAGCTGGGAGGGTGGGGGGAACACCTTCTCCTCCTTGCTAGCTGTCACAATTTAAAAAAAACAAATGGCCGTGCAGGGACCCATCTGCCTGGCCACATCACTCATTCACAGTGTTCTGTGAATGAAACCACTACAAGTTCCGACAACCTTCGTGGTTGTCAGCTTGTAGTTGTCAATGAACTACCAAGATGCTGTGGAGCTCCTCGTTGTTCATTGAGTCTTTTTCTGTCAGTATTTGCTTGCCTGTATGGGATGTACAGACATACAGATACACTGACAAGTCTGACAGGCCTGCAGGAGACCTGCATGGCACCAGCGATCTACTGATCACTGCTGCAATTCTTTAGAGCCTCCAGAAACAAAATTAATAAATGCACATTTTTTACCTGTGAAAACATGTGCATTTATTATTTTTTGTTAAAAGGTGAACTTATCCTTTAACTGAACAAGCTGAAGTTAGCAGCTGATTGGCTACCATGCATAGCTACACCAGAATTTGCACTTCCCAATTGTAGTAAATCAACCCCTGTGTGTCCAAGATCCGATTAGACACCTTATTTGATTGGCTCAACACCCAGTGTAGAGTGTTTAGCCCAGCTGCATGATGGGGGCTCTGGCAGTTAACTGCGATCAGAGGGCACAGGTGCCCCATCCAGCTCCTATCCTATGCTGACAGACTGGTAAACTGTAGGAGAGTGACAGCTGCTGTGGCTGGACAGGGCACCTAGCAGTACTTTTATTTGGTGTTTGGAATGCATGCTTGGAACACATGATGTCTCCATTTTGGGCATTCCTCCTTGGGTGTATACTGCACTAGATGTACAATATCTCACAGAAGTGAGTACACCCCTCACATTTTTTAAAAGGTTTTATTATATCTTTTCATGTGACAACAGTGAAGAAATGACACTTTGCTACAATGTAAAGTAGTGAGTGTACAGCTTGTAAAACAGTGTAAATTTGCTGTCCCCTCAAAATAACAACACACAGCCAGTAATGTCTAAACCGCTGGCAACAAAAGTGAGTACACCCCTAAGTGAAAATGTCCAAATTGGGCCCAATTAGCCATTTTCCCTCCCCAGTGTCATGTGACTCGTTAGTGTTACAAGGTCTCAGGTGTGAATGGGGAGCAGGTGTGTTAAATTTGGTGTTATTGCTCTCATCTCTCTCATACTGGTCACTGGAAGTTCAACATGGCACCTCATGGCAAAGAACTCTCTGAGGATCTGAAAAAAAAAGAATTGTTGTTCTACATAAAGATGGCCTAGGCCAGTGATGGCGAACCTATGGCACGCAGAGCCATCTCAGTGGGCACGCCAGGAAGAACGCGCGGTGCGCACCGGGCGATCTCCGTGATCGCTGTGTCCTACGGACACAGCTGATCACGTGACGTGGTAAAAGGCCAATCACAGCGGCCTTTTACCACGTGATCAGCCGTGTCCAATGACACGCTGATCACCGGGAAATGCAAATGCCGGTTCTCGGCTGCACTTTCCTCACGCTGTCAGATCGTGAGGAAAGTACTGCCGAAAACCGGCAGTTGTCAGAGCAGGGAACGGCACCGATCATCAGGGTCAATGATCATCAGTGCCCTGATGATCAGTGCCACACACACGTTCCGCCCACCTGTGCCCAGCAGTGCGCCCTGAACCCCACCTGTGCCCAGCAATGCACCCACCTGTGCCCAGCAGTGCACCCACCTGTGCCCAGCAATGCACCCACCTGTGCCGCCTACCTGTGCCTAGAAGTGCCACCTACCTGTGCCCAGTAGTGCCACCCACCTGTGCCAGCCCACCAGTGCCACCCACCTGTGCCCACCAGTGCCACCCACCAGTGCCCATCAGTGCAGCCCAGCAGTGCTGCCAGTCAGTGCCCAGCGGTTGTTCCAGTCAGTGCCCAGCAGTGATGTCAGTCAGTGCCACCTATCAGTGCTGTCTATCAGTACCCATTATCAGTGTCGCCTATCAGTGCCGCATATCAGTGCCACCTATCTGTGACACCTCATTAGTGCTGCCCATCAGTGCCACCCATCAGTGATGCCCGTCAGTGCCGTCTGTCAGTGCCTCCAGTTGGTGCTATCAGTCAGTGCCGCTTATCAGTGCCCATCATTTCCTGCATATCAGTGCATCATCAGTGCCTCCTCATCAATGCTCACCAGTGCCGCCTCATCAGTGCTACCTATCTGTGCCGCCTCATCAATGCCCATCAGTGCTGCCTATCAGTGCAGCCTCACCAACGCACATCAAAGAAGAAATATTACCTGTTTGCAAAATTTTAGAATAGAAGCAAAGGAAACCTTTTATGTTAATTTTTTGCTCTTTTTTCATTTATAGTGCAAAAAATAAAACACCCAGTGGTGATTAAATACCACCAAAAAAAGCTCTATTTGTGTGAAAAAATTATAAAAATCGCATATGGTTACAGTGTTGCATGACCGCACAATTGTCATTGTTAAGTGCAACAGCACTGAAAGCTGAAAATAGTCCTGGGCACAGGTGGGTGGCACTGGTGGGCACAGGTGGGTTGGCACAGGTGGGTGGCACTACTGGGCACAGGTAGGTGGCACTTCTGGGCACAGGTAGGCGGCACAGGTGGGCGCACTGCTGGGCACAGGTGGGTGCATTGCTGGGCACAGGTGGGCGCACTGCTGGGCACAGGTGGGCGGAACGTGTGTGTGGCACTGATCATCAGGGCACTGATGATCATTGACCCTGATGATCGGTGCCGTTCCCTGCTCTGACAACTGCCGGTTTTCGGCAGTACTTTCCTCACGATCTGACAGCGTGAGGAAAGTGCAGCCGAGAACCGGCATTTGCATTTCCCGGTGATCAGCGTGTCATTGGACACGGCTGATCACGTGGTAAAAGGCCGCTGTGATTGGCCTTTTACCACGTCACGTGATCAGCTGTGTCCGTAGGACACAGCGATCACGGAGATCGCCCGGTGCGCACCGCGCGTTCTTCCTGGCGTGCCCACTGAGATGGCTCTGCGTGCCATAGGTTCGCCATCACTGGCCTAGGCCATCTTTATGTAGAACAACAATTCTTTTTTTTTCAGATCCTCAGAGAGTTCTTTGCCATGAGGTGCCATGTTGAACTTCCAGTGACCAGTGTGAGAGAGATAACACCAAATTTAACACACCTGCTCCCCATTCACACCTGAGACCTTGTAACACTAACGAGTCACATGACACTGGGGAGGGAAAATGGCTAATTGGGGCCAATTTGGACATTTTCACTTAGGGGTGTACTCACTTTTGTTGCCAGTGGTTTAGACATTAATGGCTGTGTGTTGAGTTATTTTGAGGGGACAGCAAATTTACATGTTATACAAGCTGTACACTCACTACTGTACATTGTAGTCTAACACAGCAGCTGTCAGACTCTCCTAGAGTTTTCCAAGCTGTCAGCAGTAGAGCTGGATGGGGCACCTGTGCCCTCTGATGGCAGCTAACTGCCAGAGCCCCATGCACCAGGCTAAACACCCAGTGTCTAGGTGTTCAAACTGCAAATAAACGCAGCTTAAAGCAGAAACCTCTAAATACAGGAGAAAGTGACCCAGGAGGCACAAAAGTAACACTTCACTGATCACTTCCGCATCTGGAAAAGCTAAACCCAGGAGTGGCAGTTCTATCCGTCCTGTTCATTGTGATCAGGGTGAGCCAGCTCCTTCCTAGGCAGGCAGTGAAGTGTATCACCATGTTGTGGATGCCGCAGTCTGCACTGCCTTGTCCTGTCTCTATGTGATCTCTAATCACCATGATAATCACAGATAATGTACAGTCTATAGAGTAATACTCAGCCTCCCTTACCTAAGTGACATTGAACTCACGTCTACTTCCCATCCACTACAGGGACCCGGAAGTGATGTCAGCGGAGGAACAGGAAATGGGCGTGGTAAGCACGGAGTGAACTTTGAGCCCGGGAAAAATAAGCTTCTCCGCTTTATTCCTGTTAGGTGGGTCAGGTGTGAGGTGCAGTGGCTGTATGTGCCAGGGAGTACTGGATGCAGAAACATTGCTGATGGGTGGGTGCAGTATAGAGGGACGCACTGGTAGTATTGAAGGGTGCAGTGACGTTGGGCTTGCTGGATGAAAGGAGGAAGATAACGGGTGCAGTGTCAGTGCTACGGGGTAACATGATTGGTGGAGTACACATGGGTGACATGTTAACTTTGCAGGGTGGCATGGGGTGCTGGGTGATTGAGGGTGCATAATAAGGGTGACATGGGGTGCTAGGTGACTGAGGGTGTATTTTGGAAGTGCTGAGGTTGCATAATAAGGGTGACACAGGGTGCTGGGTGACTGAGGGTAATGGCTGGTGACATGGGGTGCTGGGTAACACGGTGTGCTAGGTGACTGAGGGTGTATTTTGGAAGTGCTGAGGGTGCATAATGAGGTTGACACAGTGCTGGGTGACATAATAAGGGTGACATGGTGTGCTAGGCGACTGAGGGTGTATTTTGGAAGTGCTGAGGGTGCATAATAGGGGGTGCTGGGTGACATGGGGTGCATAATAAGGGTGACATGGTGTGCTAGGTGACTGAGGGTGTATTTTGGAAGTGCTGAGGGTGCATAATAAGGGTGCTGGGTGACATGGGGTGCATAATAAGGGTGACACTGGGTGACTGAGGGTGCATAATAAGGGTGACATGGGGTGCTAGGTGACTGAGGGTGCATAATAAGGGTAACACGGGGTGCTGGGTGACTGAGGGTGCATAATAAGGGTGACATGGGGTGCTATGTGACTGAGGGTGTATTTTGGAAGTGCTGAGGGTGCATAATAAGGGTGACACAGGGTGACTGAGGGTGCATAATAAGGGTGACATGGGGTGCTGGGTGACTGAGGGTGCATAATAAGGGTGACATGGGGTGCTGGGTGACTGAGGGTGCATAATAAGGGTGACATGGGGTGCTAGGTGACTGAGGGTGTATTTTGGAAGTGCTAAGGGTGACACAGGGTGCTGGGTGACTGAGGGTGCATGATAAGGGCGACACAGGGTGACTGAGGGTGCATAATAAGGGTGACATGGGGGGGTGCTGGGTGACTGAGGGTGCATAAGAAGTGTGACTGAGGGTGTATTTTGGAAGTGCTGAGGGTGCATAATAAGGGTAACACGGGGTGCTGGGTGACTGAGGGTGCATAATAAGGGTGACATGGGGTGCTGGGTGACCGAGGGTGCATAAGAAGGGTGACTGAGGGTGTATTTTGGAAGTGCTGAGGGTGCATAATAAGGGTAACGGGGGGTGCTGGGTGACTGAGGGTGCATAATAAGGGTGACATGGGGGTGCTGGGTGACTGAGGGTGTATTTTGGAAGTGCTGAGGGCGCATAATAATGGTGACTGGGGGGGTACTGGGTGACTGAGGGTGCATAATAAGGGTGACACGGGGTGCTGGGTGACATGGGGTGACTGAGGGTGCATAATAAGGGTGACATGGTGTGCTGGGTGACTAAGGATGCATAGGGGGGACATGGGGTGCTGGGTGACGGTGTATTTTGGGGGTACTTGGTAGCCGCAGCCTGTGGGTTAAATGAAAAAAAAAAAGAGAAGAAATCTCTGTCAGAAAAAGTGTGTGGTATACCCAGCATTAGAATATACCGCCCTGCATCCACCCACTTCTAATGGTGGGCACACATGAAATGTTTTTTTTGTTGTTCAACCCGTGGGCTGAACGAAAAAAAAGAACCTAACAGATTCCTCTATTCACATCGGTCGATGTGGATGAAATCTCTGCCAAAAATGTTTTTTTAAATATATACCGAAGCATAGGGGCCATTCACCCACTGGCCGCCCCAGACCCCCTCAGACCCACATGCTTCGACACATATGCTCTTTTTTTTAACTGCGGATGAAAAATCTCATCCAACAGCACTGCACACACCTACTTATGTATATTCTGAGAGCAAGACCTTGTTGCTGTCAGAATAACAAGTCGGTGCTGCAGCTGAATGCATTCCTGCAATGGTTAACAATAAAACAACTTTTTTATTGAATTTTGCCCAAAAATGTTTAAATATATATACTGAAGCATAGGGGTCATCCACCCACTGGCCACTCCAGGCCCCCATGCTTCGGCATATATGCTCTTTTTAACTGCAGATGAAAAATCTCATCCAACAGCGCTGCCCACACTGACTTTTGTATATTCTGAGAGCAAGTTCATGTCATTGTCAGAATAAACAAGTCGGTGCTGCAGCTGAATGGCATTCCTGCAAAGAAACCCGCAATGGTTAACAATAAAAACAGTAAAATCGTAACAGTAGAACAGCAACACCAACGACAACAATAAAAAAAAACAACAATTTTTGTTTTTTAAAATTCTTAATTTTTTTGACTTGTACTTATTTTTTTAACTTTTTAAACCAGATTGTAGGGTCTCTCAAAATGCAATAGCCAGTTTCCTGACTACCTAACATCTTTCAAGACCCTGTGTAAATATGTGCCCTGAACTGTGCTGTGCTGTACTCTATACTAATACTCCACTAGTGTGTGGTAGCGACAGAAGCATTCAAGGCAGAGTTGGCCAGGACAGGAGGGACAAAAAAAAGTGTCACGCCTAATTCCATGTCTGCTACAGACACAACATCTTTGTTGGGGTGTCCTTTGGGTTGGGGTACCAGGAATGGCATCAGGAAAATGCCTCTCATGCAGCCGGCTAACTGGGTTTGGGGTTTGGGCCACAGCACCTTCTGGATACAAAAGGGCCATTATGATTTTTTTCTGGAATTTTAGGAAGGATTCACCTTGTCCAGTCGCTTTGTAAAGCACAAAAGTAGTATATAGAGCTAATTGAAGTAAATACACACTTTTTTGTACCAGCGTCTGGCTTTTCGGGAAA